TTTAAAAAATAAAAAAATAAAAATTAATTTAAGATAAATTTAAATTCAAATAAAAATAATTAACAGAATTAATTTATTTTAATTAGATAAAATTAATTATATTTATTGGTTTTAATTAAAGTAATTAGATTTATTTAATTAAAATAGTATGATTAATTAATTTTAAATTCTTTTACTTCTCCTTATTCAACTTCAAAATTAAAAAGTAAAAATTGTCTTTATTTAATTTCACCTAAAACTTTTTGTGATCAAGCAATTTGGTACACAAGTTTTAAATAAGTGCAAATTAGTCCTTTAAATTTTAAATTTTATCAAATCAGTCTCTTAACTTTTATTTTGTTGTAAGTGCATGCATGCTCTTGATTTTGTTCAATTCAGTCTAAAAGTTTTCAAATGTTACAATTTTATTTATTCACTTTTTAAGCTTACTCAATTGAGACCTAAAGAATAAACAGGTTGAATTAAAACTTCAATGTTAAAATATACAACTGTGTTTTACATAAAGAATGATAAAGTGCGCATATATCTTTTCTCACTTCTAACTAAACCCCTAAATCCCAATCTTTAAGCAGATTATTTTAGATGAATTGTCTTTTTTCATAATTTAGGCGATTTAGTGAATACTGATTTTAATTTTTTTTTTTAATTTTTCACACTTAATTTTTTTCTCAAACTCATTTTTGAAAAACTTTTAAGTAGTCATGACTGGGTTGCAATCCATATAGCAATATGCTATCAGTCCAATTATATTCTACAACCTGCTTTTTCATTTGATGTAGCAGTAACTATGATTTATGAGCCAATTTGAAAGTAAAAGTATCTTCCCTTCCCTTTGTTTTTTATCATTTGGAAAGCTCTAACCTGCACTCGGTCAAACATTCTTTCCAATATAGGTCCATTTCTATACACTTTCTCATTTCTAGTGTTTCATATTGTCCAAATATAGCAAAGAAAACCAAACCAAAACCCAACCCAACCGTTCACTATTTAAGAAGCACATGTCCTTATGTTGCACAAATGTATGTACTTAAGTTGCACAAATGCATTCCAGCAATTTTCGGCTCTGACGGTGTCTTAGATATTATGACAGAATATTTAGAGCACTATATACATACTATTTATGAATTACCGAAAGAGTTTGGCACTTATAAAAGTATATAAAATCCTCAAATAATACACATTCACCAAATATACTAACATAAAATAACAGAAATTCTATCCATCTCTTCCTTTTCGTTTGTTGATGTTCTTTTTGTTATCAAAGATGCCTGGTCTAAAAGTCGAAGTATAAAGCTCAACAAGAAAAGGAAACAGTAACAGTACAAAGATAATGACCGGAATACCAGCAAGCAAAGTCACTGGTATGATTATCCACAAGCGACCTTGTAGCATAATGAAAAGAGCAACACAAAATGCGACCATCATTGCTGCAATAGAGATGAAGAGTGAAGAAATGCCAATAATCAACTTCACGGGTAAGGATTTAAGGAAATCTTTATAAGCATAACGTGAAGTAAGAATCCCCAAAAACATCAGCACCGAACTAGATGCAGCAAAAAGAGAAATTGCATCTGATACCACGAATACCATGAACGGCACGGTTGGAGAAGGTACTGTAGAAGAGTCTGTTGTTTTGTTCAAAGATATAGGGTCCAAAAATATAGGGAAGCCTGTATTTTGATTATTCCCACCAGGAACAGTGAAAGCCACAGCAAACATAATAGTAATGATTAGGGCACCTACGACTGTAGAAGATTCTGCTGTTTTCTTCAACCATTCTTCCGCTTCTTTTAGCAACTGCTTGTGTTCCTTAACAAACATTTGGGAAGGAGTTTTACCACCATTATTTTTATCATAGTTGTTGAACTGTGGAACAATGCCTTCCACTGCCTACATAAATTTCAAAATATTATTCTAGATGTTAAGTGAGAAACTCATTATTCAGAATTAATGGAGCCACATGATTTAAGATTAAAAAGTCACATCAAAATATAAAATTTATCAATTGACAAAACATATAAAAGTATAAGATTCTTACCTTAAACCAGCGTAGTTCACTTTGCAACTGCAAAGCTGCACCTGGGATGCAATCAAGGTAAGAACGAGGAGCTAACTTTGCTGCTAAATGTAATAAATTGTTTCCATCTTTATCGGTGGTAAAAACCATATTTGTACCAATTCTCGCATTAAATCCATAAAGAAATTGTGCCACTTCCTCTTGACGATGTGCTACAGCACATGCAAACATGTTCCTTGAATCTTCAGGATCAGTACAGTTCCATAATATATTTGTATTAACTTTTGCAATTTCAATTGCAATCTCAGGGGTGCCATTCTTGATGGCTTGAAAGGTTGCTTCCACTGCTCCACTTCGCAAAAATTGTTTCTCATTCAAAGTTGATAATCGCCAACATATAAAATATATAATCGCACGGGCATTTTCATCCATCAACTTTAATTCATATATATGCCTTGCTGTTGAAAAAAAAAAAAAAAAGATCATATTTTCAACAACTATTGTCAAAACTGAGCCACCTCCTCTGCAACTATGAGTGGTGTTACTTGCTACCTTAGGTTCCCTGGGCAGCATAACTCTGAACTCCAAAACTTACAGTGGATCTAGTTCCCTTATATTATTATAGATCAGTTCATGCAGTAACAATAATCAAAATCACATAATGTTACTGTCTTATTGCTAAAAGAACAGCATAAAACCAAAGATGCTAGTACAATGAAACATGCATTTATTCAACTATGTAATAAATATTGAAACATAACTTGAAATAATTAGGTTCCCTTACCCTAAATCGAGCAAACATTTGCAACTCCTATTCCATTTAGAGGAGAAAAGTAACATGAGTTTAGAGAGGGATGTGCTTACACTAGTTGGGTGTCTATTGGCTTTTAAATGATAAATAATATCCACCAATAAGAGCCCAAAAAATTTGATTAAGAAAACAAAAGCAGTCTAGATTCAGCTAAATTTAAATCCTTTACTATAGTCAATTCTTATTAACAGTATTCCAAAGTATTAATATCTTTCCCATATAAATATATCAAATATAGGTGAAAAAAGAGAGAAAATCTTACAGTCTAGAACAACAATGTAAATCCTAAAAGAAAAGAAATCAAAGAAAATATGAGAGATATAAAACATAGTGGAGAGAAGGAAAAAGAAGAAGAATGAAAGCACCAAAACACTACTTATTTGTTGACAAAACCATTTAGAATCAAAGCACACTTAATCAAACTAAATCTGATATCAATTAATCAAAAATCTACACAAAATTGACATATTATTAATGCTTAATTTTATCATATCCAAAGAAAACACAACAACAATGCCTACATAGTATCCAAGCTTGAGTTGCCATATTCAAAGACAACACAACAAGAAAATGATAGAAAATGCCATTGTTGCTACCAACAATTAAACTCATTGCAACCCTAAAATATCATATCCAAATGCTCTACATAGCTGCCACCAGTGGCATCATTACTTTAAAATGCATGACTTGGAAAGGTTGGCACTCCTTGTTGACCCTAAAATGCAAACAAGATATTGTTTAAGTTGCAAAAAACCACTCAAAGGCTTTATGTAATCTAAATATCATAACAAATGATTTGGCTAGTTACAGAAGAAACCATCACTAATCAGTCAACAAAATCTAGGAAACATAATTAAAGACTCCAAATTGTGTGCTCAGTTAAAAGAACCCACCAAAAGGCACACTGTAGCATTGTACGAGACAATAAGAATTATACATTTTGTAACTTTGAAAGTACCCATAAGGCTTCTCCAGTACAAGCAAACCAATAGATAAATTTTAAATTGAACCAGAATTTAAAATAAACAACCAACCAGCTGGTAAGTCTTAGGGTTCATACTACCAGTCAAGTCCAGAGAAACATAGCATATTAGCACCCCTAAGTTTCTGTTATCCAAAACGTTGAAATACTGACAAACCTTATAAGCTATAGTCTTGCAAAGGCTGGGCATACCAATAAACCTTGTTGATGAGAAATGAACTAGGAATGACATATTGGGTGTAACTTTATTTGTAAGGGCTTGAGTACCCCTCGTTCTCTATTTAATAATTTATTATTTTTGCCTCTCCCAAAAAAAAATTAAAAGTCCCACTTCACAAAAGTCCATTGTGAAACCAAATTGTCAAACTAATCCTTATTAGCTAGAGTCATCCAAAAAAAAACTAAAGTTATCTCTTTGTTGAGCAACTTCTTCTTCAATGGTAGAAAAACTAAAGTCATCCAAAAATATATTTAATTGCAGAAACTAAATTCTAAATTTTAAAAAGACTAGGGAAGGAAATTCCATATTTATCACATGGAATAACCTAGGACACAAAGCATTCTCTATATTGGTAATGCCTTTTAATTTTCTATTAACCCTTTAAGTATTCAATCATAGAGAGTCAAAAATACAAGATATATTAACCCCCAAAAGAAGAAAGATTTCTCAGTCCATTAATTTGCCAACCTATGTTAAACTTTTTGTAATAGTCCCCCAATATCTTTACAATAAAAAAGAGACTAGTCATTCACTAGCAAGAGAAGAATTTTAAATTTTGAAGAGAAAAGTGAAAGAAAAATGATTTCTTTGGGTGGTGGGGATATAACTTTCACAGCTCTTGAATGTTACAAAGGTTAAATACCATTTTTGGTCCCTATATTGAAAAAATCTCCTTTTTAGTTCTTAAAATTTGAAATCCGACCCTTTTTTGGTCCCTCTGTCAGTTAAATCACAACATGACACTATAATCCATTAAATATTTTGTTTTTTTTCTTTTTAATGGCGATGTGTGATTACACGTTGCAAAATTGATAAGTTGGCAATAAAATTTATTTTCCATGTAATCAATAGGTTCTAATATAGTTAAAAGAAAAACTCATCAGTTCCCCTTTGTCTTTTTATTTCCCATTTCTGTCCTCATCTTCTTCCTAAGCCCAAATTCCTAATCATCTCTACCCTTGCCTAAACCTAATCATCCTCTCATCCATTGATTTTTTCTTCGCTAACCCTTCCTCCATCAAAGCCCTCAATTCTTCACACCAATCTTCGTCTCCATTAAAGCTCTTACCTTTCTTCAGCAGCCCTTTCTTCTCCTCATCCGAAATCTGTCGAAGTCCTTTCGAAGGACCTTGGTCGGTACTTTTATCTCGACGACCAAGCAATGGCCATAGAAGTGATCTCGTTTACCGTTGTCGAAGGACTTGATGATGACAAACCCAGGCGCGATGAACCCAAGACGAACCCACCCAGGCGCACGTTGGGTACCCAAAAGCAATCGGCCCCCTAAAATTGGCCTCATGTGTTTAAGATCCTATTTCTTGTACATCTTGGAATATTTTGCTTGATTTGGCTGTTTGAATGAGATTTTCATTGTGCTAAGTTTATAAACCCATAAATAAAAATTGTAGATTTGAGTTTGCTTTCATGTGTGTGTCTCATGATATTTTAATTTTTGGAATTTTTTGCTGCTCTTGGGTTCATTTCCAATTTAGTTGCTAGATGTTTCTGGAGTTGTTTGTTTGAGAAGAACATGCTTTCTTTTTCTTTTTTTGGCAGAGATTGAGAACCCAGCTTGCCCCTGGGTTTGCGACAAACCCAAGCGCGAGCTGGGTTCATCGTGCCTGGGTTTGCAAAGAACCCAAGACGAACCCAGGCAGGATGAACCCAAGTCGTGCTTGGGTTCACGACGAACCCAACAAAGGTTTAAAAAAAAAAAACTAGAAGGGTGAAGAAGATGGGGGCAAATAAGTAATTACAAAATAATCTTTAAAATATTTATAATGGTAATTATGTAATTAAATGACTTTCAATGTTATATCAGACAAAAAAAATATATCAAAAGCTGATGTGGATGCAAAATATGTCCATGTCTTTTTTTTTTTACAAAGTGGATTTTTCATGTCATACAATTCCATTAATTAACTGCTACCTGTCAAAAAATTTAATGGAGGGACCAAAAAGGGATCAGATTTCAAATTTTAGGGACTAAAAAGGGGATTTTTTCAGTATAAAGACCAAAAAGGAGCTATTTTGAATAGTAGAGGGACCAAAAAGGGTATTTAACCTATTACAAAACATGAAACATGTTGGGGTAAGATTTTACAGAAGTTGATTATAAAAAATGACATTACATGCAAAATTAACATTCACTAACATTCATGTTTGACCAAACCCAACAACCTCCCTAAGTTTAGGAGTTCTAATAAATCTAGGTGCAAAAGAAGAGATTAACAAAGGTCAAAGAAACAAAAGTATACCTCCCTTCAAATGCTTTGTAGCCTTTTATTATGTAAAGCAAGAAACTGGATGTTGCAAGTAAAGATTTAAAGCAATTGGAAGCACACTACATAAGAAGCAGACAAAATTAATTAGTATAATAATCAATAATAGTTTTGAACATAGATCAGACAGATAATACATTTAGTCTCGTTTCTCCACAAACATTGAGAAACGGATAGCCCAACAAAGATAACGCTCCACCTAGCCACACAATTTCAATTCATATTCAATAGAAAGAATAAAAAAAATTCAAAATAAATTTGAGTTGACTGCAAAATTGATAAGAGACCTAAAAGATGCAATTTTAAGTTCTTAGAATGATTAATGAAAGAGAGAGGGAGATCAGAGTTGCAGAGGTTGCCAGAAAATGTCTACGCAATCACTGAAGTCGAGCAAAAACCACTGAAGCCGAGCAAAAACCACTGAAGCCTTGTTCTCGAGTAACTAACATTGAACCTGGACTGAATACCCCCCAATCAAAAATATTGCATTCAATCGAAAATGCAATCAGAAACCCTAAACTTTCAATAGGAAATGACAATAGAAATTAAACCTTCAATCGAAAAGAAAATGAGGAGTACCTTTTGCAAATCCTTGAGTTCCTTCAAAATCCGCTTAGAAGCCATGAAGCTTCACCAGATGGGCCCCTAAAACCTGCAAAATCACAAAGACCCATGTTAGGAAACAATGAAATTAGCCCAGAAACAAGAACTAACAAGATGGATCCCATCATCAAACA